CGTGTAGATAGACTGGGCGGGCCTGACGTGTCGGCTATAATTTCCTCACAGCTTATCGTCATGAAGCTTGACCTTTCTGGCGGTTGCACGGATGGACGGTGGGTGGGTGGGGTCGTTCGAAACCAACAATCGGCGGCGAGCGAAGGGGGGAAATGAGAAGGAGAAGGCCTTCTCAGAAGGCGGCAGGACCTCTCAGAAGCCCTCGCGCCTTCTGAGAGGTTTTTGTTCTGCCCTTGGGGAAGGCTTAGAACATCCTCAGAAGGCCAGGGGACTTCCGAGACTTCTGAGAAGGCCCGCCCCTTCTCACTTCCCCCCTTCGCTCGCCGCCGGAACAACAGTGTTGCATGTGCACGGATTAGCGGCTGCCGCTTTTCCAATTCTGTTTTTCGCGGGGCACTAAGCCATCATTCAGCAGTCACCCGTACGGATGGCGATTGCATTTTGAGGGTCTCATGTGTCATTATTGTTGTGGTCGTGCGTCCAGAGCTCCATCGTCGTTTCGTTCGTGGGGGGAGTCCATTTTTCAAAACGGCGCGCTCGCTTGAATAGCAGGCACATGTGCAGTCGCCTTTGACGTTGTGCCCCCCAAGGTGGAACGGCGTGCCTTTAGCGACTTGTGAGGAGGGGACTTGGACAGGAATGTGTCTTCACATCGTTGGTGCATTCTGGTTTTGCTCAGATCCTCCTCGTTCTCATCGTCCTCCGTCTCCTCCTTTTTTCTCCTCCATAATTGCTCAAAGTGAATCCAATATGAATACTTCTCTCCTCTCTCCCCTGGTGACGTCTGGGAAATGTTCGGCCCCCCTCCGCGTGGTAGTTTTTTACAGGATTCCCGGGGAACGGGTTTTTGCTGAGTTTTTGTTTGAAATGCTGCTCTCGCTGAAGCGCTGGCCTCAATTTCGGGCTACGCATCCTCCGAATCGTGCTCCCGCTGCAGTGCTGGCATCATTTCCGCGCTTCCGCTCGTTCCGAATCGTGCTTCCGCTGCAGCGCTGGCGTCATTATTTCCAGCGCCATGCCACGGCGTGGTTGTCGATCCTTCCAAATAGGCCGCAAAAGCTAAACATTACCCTCCGAAAAACCGTCGGAGGTGATTCCACATTCGGTGTCGGTTCGTTGAATCTTGGGGCCGCAGAAGCCTTCCCCCCTTCGTCGGGCCCCATGGACTTTAATTATCCCGGCAAAGCAACCTAACAGCGATGTGTATAAGCATATCTGGAAGCATTCCCCTTACGATTCAGGTGAGAATCCAGTGGTAGAATTCTGCTGTTCTCGCAGTCGCAGTCGCATTCGCAATGACAGTCGCAGTGGCAACGGCCTCGGGATCCAATGGAATCCTAAGGATTCCTATAGGGATTCCTAAGGCATCCTTAGGAATCCATAGGAATCCTTAGGAAACCTTCGGAATCATTAGGAATCCTGATTCCTAGGGATTCCTAGGGATTCCTAAGCATTCCTAGGGAATCCTAAGGATTCCGAAGGATTCGCCTGCCTCGGCCTCAGCCTCAGCCTCAGCCTCAGCCTGCTTCAGCCTCAGCCTCAGCCTGTCTCAGCCTCAGCCTGCCTCAGCCTCAGCCACAGCCTCAGCCTCAGCCTGCCTCGGCTTGCCTCGGCCTCAGCCTCAGCCTGCCTCGGCCTCAGCAGCCTCAGCCTGCCTCAGCCTCAGCCTCAGCCTGCCTCAGCCTCAGCCTGCATCAGCCTCAGCCTCAGCCTGCCTCAGCCGCAGCTTGCCTCAGCCTCAGCCTCAGCCTCAGCCTCAGCCTCAGCCTGCCTCAGCTTGCCTCAGCCTCAGCCTAGCCTGCCTCAGGCCTCAGCCTGCAGCCTCAGCCTGCAGCCTCAGCCTCAGCCTGCCTCAGCCTCAGCGTCAGCCTCTCAGCCTGCATCAGCCTCAACCTCAGCCTGAGCCTGCCTCAGCCTCAGCCTCAGCCTGCCTCAGCCTCAGCCTGCATCAGCCTCAGCCCCAGCCTGCCTCAGCCGCAGCTTGCCTCAGCCTCAGCCGCTGCCTCAGCCTCAGCCTCAGCCTGCCTCAGCTTCAGCCTCAGCCTAAGCCTGCCTCGGCCACAGCCTCAGCCTCAGCCTCAGCCTGCCTCGGCCTCAGCCTCAGACTCAGCCTGCCTCAGCCTCAGCGTCAGCCTCTCAGCCTCAGCCTGCATCAGCCTCAGCCTCAGCCTCAGCCTGCCTCAGCCTCAGTTTCAGCCTGCCTCAGCCTCAGCCTGCCTCAGCCTCCTGAGCCTGCCTCAGCCTCAGCCTCAGCCTGCCTCAGCTTCAGCCTGCAGCCTCAGCCTCAGCCTCAGCCTCAGCCTCCTCAGCCTCAGCCTCAGCCTCAGCCTCAGCCTGCCTCAGCCTCAGCCTCAGCCTGCCTCAGCCTCAGCCTCAGCCTCAGCCTCAGCCTCAGCCTCAGCAGCCTCAGCCTCAGCCTGCAGCCTCAGCCTCAGCCTCAGCCTCAGCCTCAGCCTGCAGCCTCAGCCTCAGCCTCAGCCTGCCTCAGCCTCAGCCTCAGCCTCAGCCTCAGCCTCAGCCTGCCTCAGCCTCAGCCTCAGCAGCCTCAGCCTCGGCCTCAGTCAGCCTGCCTCAGCCTCAGCCTGCATCAGCCTCAGCCTCAGCCTCAGCCTGCCTCAGCCTCAGCCTCAGCCTGCCTCAGCCTCAGCCTGCCTCAGCCTCAACTTCAGCCTGCCTCGGCCTCAGCTTGCATCAGCCTCAGCCTCAGCCTGCCTTAGCCTCAGCCTGCCTCAGCCTCAGCCTCAGCCTGCCTCAGCTTGCTTCAGCCTCAGCCTCAGCCTGCCTCGGCCTCAGCCTGCCTTGGCCTCAGCCTGCCTCAGCTCGGGCATTCAAAACATGGCACAGGACTGGTGTTCTGGGAACACGAAGATCACGAAGTGGCCCACAGCTGGCTCCAGGGCAATCAAGATATGGTACAGGAATGGTGTTCCGGGAACACGAAGAACACGAGGTGGCCTACAGCTGGCTCCTGGCATTCAAAATGTAGGCTTGGAATTGTGTTCCGGGAACACGAAGTACACGAAGTGGCTTACAGTTGGCTCCGGCCATTCACAATGTGGCCTGGGAGTTGTGTTCTGGGAACACGAAGAACACGAAGTGGCCTACAGCTGGTTCCGGGCATTCAAAATGTGGCCTGGGAATGGTGTTCTGGGAGCACGAAGAACACGAAGTGGCCTACAGCTGGTTCCGGGCATTCAATGTGGCCTGGGAATGGTGTTCTGGGAGCACGAAGAACACGAAGTGGCCTACAGTTGGCTCCGGGCATTCAAAATGTGGCCTGGGAATGGTGTTCTGGGAATGGATTCCTAAGGATTCGTAAGAATTCTTTAGGATTCCTAAGGATTCCTGGGGCTGCACTTTTGTCCGGCTCCTTGTCCGGATCCCGCCCAGACCCCCTTGGGGCGTCAAGATGCTCTCTTTTGATCCCACTAGAAACCATCAGCAAAAGCTGTTAGGTAAAAAACGATCCGGCTGGAAAATGCCGATCCAATTGGACCCCAGAGGGAGCCGATTGTTCAACGAAGCCAGACCATCGAGCCTGGCAGCCCGCCGTACTATTCCCTGACATCCGTCCTCGCCTCGCCCGCCGCAGTCTCCTCCGCCGCCGCCGCCGTCGTTGTCTGCGTCGTTGTCGCCGTCGGCAATTCCTATGCGTTCCCTGGAGCTTCCAGAAGTCTTCGGGCCATCCGCCACGCCTCGTGCAGAGCTGTCCGGGGAGCCCAGGGAGACTTGGAAGGGGGCTCGGGGAACGCAAGGCAGCGTGTCGAAAGGAAGGGGGGGGGCCTTACACTATTACAGCACCCTTTTACCAGACGGCACTTGGCATTCGAAAGCGCCTACATCGAGCAGGCACAGTTGAGCAGGACATGGGGCCGGGATTCCAGACAGGTCTTCTCCTTTCGTGCACGGGCCAGTTACCCTCGAAGGCATCCGGTGCCATGCCATGGCATGCAATGCGATGTTGCGTTGTGCTCCGCTGTGCGATGCCATGCTTTGCGATATTACGGTTTGTGGTGCAGTGCTACATTACGCAATGCGAAGCCATGCTATGACATGCTCTGTTTTGCCGCGCTCTTCTACACCATGCTATGCCGTGCTGTACCATGCATCACAAACCCTATCTGGATCATTGCCTTGCTCGACATCAACATGTGCGCATAAAGAGGAGATCTGCGCCATGGTAAGGGTTGGGAGGGAAGGGTATGACGACAGAAATGACGCGAGCGCACCTAGCTTGCCCCTCCCCCTCCCCCCTCCACGCGTGCGCGGATGGGGCGGGGTGGGGGGGCGAGGCGAATGGGGAAGGTGAGGGAGTGAACGAGGGTAGGATGAGGGTGGGGTGGTGGTGGTGGTTTTGGTGATGGTGATGATGCTGCTGATGACGACGATGGTACTGGTGCTGGTGCTGGTGATGGTGATGGTGATGGTGATGGTGATGGTGGTGATGATGATGATTATGATGATGTTGATGCTGATGTTGATTGTGATGATGATGCTGATGCTGACGCTGACGCTGACGTTGCTGCTGCGGTTGTTGCAGATTATATTATTCCCCAATCAGAGCTTGCCTCTGTGGGGGTCCTAGCGGATTCATATGGTTAGGTTAGCGTGGCCGCCGATTTTCGCTGCACGCCCGGGTGCCCGGGTGCCCGGGGGTACCCGGGGGTGAGGTTGGCCGCCGATTTTCGCTGCACGCCCAGGTGCCCGGGGGGTGCCCGGGGGTGCCTGGGTGCCCGGGTGCCCGGGTGCCCGGGCGTGCAGCCCAATAGTCCTATAGCCCAATAGCCCTATAGCCCTATAGCCGATTGTACTATCAAAAAAGACTCAGGATGATTTTTTTTCTCCGGTATCATGATGCTGTTTCTGATGACGCTGCTGAGGATGATGATTAATGATGGTTGTGATGATGATGACAATGATGATTAATGCTTGTGATGGTGATGATGACGACGATGATGATGTTGATGATGATAGTGGTGATGCTGCTGTTGAAGATGATG